AAAAAAACACAAAAATGAAGAAAATGTTTTTTTTATTTGAGAGTCTTATTTAAGCATTTGTAACTTTCATGTTAGAAGTTTGTCTCCTGCGATGGAGCCACAGGCCTACAACAGTGACAGCCACCAAGCCAATAACTCCAGCAGTTGCTAGTGCTCTAGCCAGGTCCAGAGTGGAGTACTGCGAGGGATCAGCACCTAAGACAATGAGAAATGTTACAAGTCTGGAATCACAACTGTACACCAAACACATCCAACATCATGAAGACATTACCTTCCAGTTTTAGCATTTCTTTATCCACAGAAACAAATGCAACAGGTCCTTCAGATGTCACCGTGTTCTTCAGAGACAGCAGCTCCTGCTCTTCAGCCATTCTCCCTAAAAATAGCAATTTTGTTTAGATATTTCCCTAAATCAAGCTGACAATGGTGCCCTATGCAAGGGACAGATGTGAAAACCCCACCAGTCAGTCTGAGACCTTCTATAATACTCACTTCTCCTTCCACCACAAGAGACCACAAAACATACTGTGAGAATTACAGCACAAATGTACATTTGCATGTGAATATATTATCAGGAGACTTTATGCTGCGTGTTCCCCCAACACAACTTGAATGCATGTTTGACCCAAGCGTCAGATTTCCTGCAGCAAGAGGGAAATTCAGAGCAGGCAGGTGAATGAGCCAAAGGAAGCAGCTCTTGTAGATGGGACATGCTTCATAGTAAAAAGCTGGGATCAGAGACACTGGAGAGGACATCCGAGTTGAGTGATGTAGAATAGGCTGCATTAAAGATGACCTTTAACCCTACCATTCAAGGCGGGAGGGAAAATTGAAGAGCCAAAAGTAGAGATTTTTGCATAAGCAACAAGTCTAACAGATCCAGAGAAATCTGGTCTAAGATTCAAACTGCAGAAGTTACACGTGTTTGAGGCTAGCTAACCTGTAAGACAAGGCAGGTGAATGAACAGAACCCACTGCTTTGAGCTTAGGCCATTTCATTCTACTGGACGACATGGAAACCCACAACTTGGAAGTGTACAAAAATGACATGCCCTCCAAAACTTCACATCTGCATTCTAGATCTTTAAGCCTTAGGACCTGCCCCTGCAGCACATTCCCCTTGCCTTATCTGCCAAGACCTGTTACTTCTGATGATCGAAGTATGTGCCAGTCCAACAAGCATGGCTACACAAGTCTATAGCCCCTAGCAGTGTCTGGGGGACTAGTAGATTACAAGTTGCTGCTTCTCCTGGTAGAGAAACAGATCCAAGAACTGGGAGCATGCTGGTTGCCATCTGGTCAGAGGAGACCAAGGAAAGGCTTCCTGCCTCCAGCTAACAGAAGCTTCAGTTCTAGGCAAAGTCATTCAACATCACTGATGGCTGAAGTTTTGTTGCTTTATATTGCGACAGATCACAAAATTCAGACTTGAAGTTAAGGGCCACCCTTTGATGTCCTGCCAAGTCCACAGTCGTGGCACCCCAGTGACAGATGGTAGTATTGTGTTTTTTACAACATTGGGAATTTTGCATTACACCAATATGAACTGACGTGATTCCATCAGTGGAAGCATGTAGGCCAACTTCTAGTATTCTGTGCAACAATTTCTTAAAAACTGATGTTCTTACCTCGTGCAATCCTCATCTCCAGCTCGAGGGGGCCAGATGTACTAACAGGAGAAGGTGGCGGCAAGGTATGCACAGTCACAGCCAGCGGTGCAATGCCGGTCTGAGTGTACCTGCAGCGCACAGTCACCCTAGATAAACATTAGAGGGTTAGATACCATTCCTCTTCCCATGACTTGTAGCAGGTTTGCTCATCTTACCTCATTATACTGTCCCTAGTGATAGAAGAACCCCGCCATGTCTCTATGGTTCTTTGACTTTCAATAGTATTCTCATAGTTCATTGGACCACCAGGGACCTGGAGAGTAGAAGAGTGAAGAGATTAGAGCTAGCCAGGCAGTCAGCTTCCCTTTGAAGCAACACACCCCATCCAACATCAGTAGGATCAGAATTTGACGCCTTTTGTTCTGTACACAAGAAACTTGGACTGTTCAGTGTATCGAGCAGGTTCTAGAGGATTGTTGGCAGTATTTGATTACCAGTTTATACTTTACTGGATGACATTTTAAAAGCAGCCCTATGACCCCCAAAACAGTCTCAGAAGTTAGAACTTGAGCCACCATCTTTACCCTTTTGGGCAGTGAAACTGAACCCATGTTGAGCTTTACCAAGAGAAAGCCCTAACTAGAATTGTAACTGAACAGGAGAAGAACACCCATCAAGTTTGCCATCTGTCCCTCTTGGGGAGAGTCAACTTCCCATTTGTCCTGGTGACTCACTGAAACCAAGTTATCAGACCAGATTAGATGGGAAATCCTCCAATGGTCACCAGAACTAGCGTCTCCACCAGGGACTCCCTCGTTGGAGGAATTTACTCACTTCCTCTTGTGACTACCAGACAGCAAGTGGAGAAATCTCCCCAATGGAACAGAAGGCAAAAACGCTGACATGTATTAGAACCCCCTTATTACATATTATTTTATTTAATTAAATACAATTTTGTACTATCCTTTGACTCTCCGACCCTCTTTATTAACTGCACTTTGAGCTGATGCCTTTCCGATCAACTCACTTCTGTTTTGCGTCTAGTACCAGCAGCTGGAGGTTGTTTGTTTAGAGAGTCATTGAACAATCAATACACCCAATCACAGGGTCTAATTAATTTTGGGTTCGGTACTCTGGGTAAAACTCCTTTCGTGTATAGGAATACCCACCTGATCTGCATTACTACAGGATAATGGGAATTTGAATGCTGCAAAGGAGTTACTTCTAGCTACTGACAGCCCAGGACAAGAGGTAGGGTCCACACCAATCACAGAGACCGAGTCCAGAAGCAGGGACGGCCTGGTCAGATCTTTGGACACTGCAATCACCATGCTGTTATCAACTGCGCACTGTGTGGTCACTGTAGGAAACAAAGATAGATTGTCACTATGAAGATCAGGTCTGAAAGTAGTCTCATCTAGACACTGTATTGTGAACACTAGTCCATTTCTGCATGAGGTCACCTAACATCTGCATGTCAATGTTAAGTTACAGGGAAGAGCACAAAATTATACAATTCAGAAGATACTATAAGCCGGTCTTAGAACTGGTGGGGCTGTATATGGAGCCTGGAAAGTTAAAGAATGGTTTAGTCACCAGAGCAAAAAGACCCTTTTGGTTTAAATCACCATTGAGGTAACCCAATGCAAACCCAATTAAATTAGATAGTTCAGCCAAACGCATTCCAAACTGGACTGCAACTCACCCATCACAAGTGTTGAATGCATGTCCCTAGACATTGCTGAGGTGCTGCCAACAGGTTTTCCCCTACAGGCCGATACTGACCCCCCTCCCACCTTTATTGGGCCAAGCAATATCCCACTTACACATGTTGCCAAAGAAACAAGGCATTCCGGCATCATTTGGGGAGTAGCAGCATCCCAACGCATCACAGATGTCTCTGGTTACAGGTGTTCCAGCACAGGCCAGTTTGTCCTCTTGGCTGACAGCAGAGCAGATGTCAGGGCTTGGGGCATCCATAGCTTCTAAACAAGAGAAAGTCAACATGTAGTAAATCTACATACTGTACATGGAGTTGAGCCCAATAAAACTCAAGATTTCAAGCGAAGGATTATAAGCTGCTAGGTTTTGTGCCTCCCCTCAGCTTCTGTCCTAGTGACCACCCCAAGAAGTGACAACATAGTGCTCATGGTTTATAGGACATTAGGTTTGCCCAATTACAAGAAAGATCACTTGTTACCGTTCTGTATTGGGCATTTCTTCTCCATCTTGTATTGCGCAACTGTCCCATTCACAATGACTTCCAGAAGCAGGACCATTAGGTACTCTCCATCCTATCAGAAGAAAAGTGGTTTTAGAACACTGCCAGTAACAGCCCCCTCTGGAGTCTCAACCCATTCTCCCAAAACCTGCTGGTCTATACCTAAAGACCACCTCTGCTCACCAAGGACTCATGAGATACTAGTGTCATAGCCAGCACAGGCACCTTCATAGTCTAGTGTGTAGAGCCGGGATCTCCCAACAGCTCCTGCCCTAGAGACACCAGGAGTGAGGAAGTCTCTACCAAGAGAGATTCCTTTAGGAAGTTGTCACCAGAACAGGAGACTGATTGTTTCCTCATCACCTCTAATTCTGGTAAGGGATCGTCTTCCCCATTAAATTGTCACCAGGACAATGCAAGATCATGCATTTTAAAAGGGGCAAATGACTGCAATACACTTACAGGAATTTTAGTCCTCCCCAAAACTGAAGTTTGGGCTATACATAAAGAATGAGTTACTAGTAGATGGCACAGAACACGGTCACCATGTTTCATGAGCCTTTCAGGACTATTAAACTCCATATACACGATTGTGATGAAGACAAGGACAGCATCAAAATCTGAAGTCAGTGTTGTCAATCTTACCTCTTCCCTTACGTAGCATCCATCATAAGCAGCACCAACTACCATTGTGTCATCAGGTCTCCTTACTACTGAAAGGCCGCAAGCAGAATCATTGGCAAGACTCTGAAATTCATCCTGGAAATCTGAACAGGAGACATATTGAAGTTGAGATTTCTACCAACAACTCAGATTGGAAAGACTCAGGTGCTGCCACATTACATTGTGGAACATGCAATGCAGGGTCAGATATGAGTATTACATGGAGGCAGATGACACCGGCGTGGTCACATATGAGAGGTTTAGACTGATAGACCAGCAAGAAATCCTCCAAAGAATATCAGTCCTGTGGGGACACCGCCTGGTACCCCACTCACCATCTCAGGCTACTACGGATAAGATGATTGTCATGTAATTGATCAGCGATCATACAACTCCTACATCTGCCATGAAGCAGCTCAAGTACATGGCCAGTATATGAATGCTTAGCCACACTCCATACCAGGTATCCCAAGTAGTGGGGAGGGGGGGTGCTCCCAGTGACTGTGGGTGGTGCCGTCAGTAGCAACAACTATATGTAGACGTCACTTTTGGAATCACCAAATGTCCATTTATTGAATAATCAAGTCACTAAAATAGCATTTTTGGGGCTATGCAGGGTCCCCTTCATCAGGCTCAGCAAGAACAACTTTGACATCACTACACTGGGGAGCTGGGGTTCTATCAGGAATCAATTGTCAGAACACACCCATCCACTGCCAGCTTATTAGTATGAAGAACCGCTCTAGTCCAGGCAGTTTCCACCTCTTCACCAACAAAAATTGAAGGCAAAGTTAAAAAGTACTCACCCAGCACAGTCAGTGAATAAGAAACACCTTCACCTGACATAGGAAGGGTCAGCTCCATGTTGTTCAGAGCACAATGGAGATGTGAGGAACCATCCCAATGTCCTCTGGCATCACACAGCATCCATGACAAACCACAGCTCCAAAGCAGAAGCACCAACCCAACTCCTGCCCTAGAATACAACATCTTGCAGACCACTTCCAATACTGACCTCCAGCCCTGACCAGAGATTTATATGCTGGAGAGGGGGCGGGGCTTCAGGCTGATTGGACAAAGACTGATATGCTGGCAGGTGATCTCAATACGATTAGGGCTGCAAAGGTGGCCAGAAACGACTGACATCTGTGGGCCTCATCTAACCAATCAAGGTGCATGGAGTCTGCTCTGGGAAGATTAAAGGGGAAGTCCACCTTTTACAGGAAATAATAAACACGCACACATTCATAGAAGTAGCAATGTGCAATGAATGATTATATTTTGGCATTGGAGTCTGTGAAGCATTGCAACTGTCATCAATGGATCCCCATTTGTCACCGCAGCAGAGGGACTCAGCAGAGAGCGCCGGCGTCAGGGGGCTGATGGCATTGCAATTGTAGTTCCTCAATTACCTACCCCCAGCTACCATACTGCAAGACCTACTGGTGTGGCGTCACGACAGACGACGCTCCATCACAGTGCAAGGACCTCTCCTACCATCCCACCAAGATTTAGGGCCCATTTAGATATATGCATGTGCGTTGAATTGCATTATTTTTTGTAGCATTAGTTAGATGTGCTGTCATGCGTCAACATGTGTTTCCTTTGTGTGGTGACATTCATTATTAATATGCATTGATGTGTTTTGAATTTAGGGTTTGGAGTAGAGTGTTGTCATGTGCTGCATAGGAGTGCAACGGGTTCTACTTTTTTTCAGGACACCGACTGAGATAATAGGTCATAAGTCGAATTGCCTTGTGTATGCGTTGGGACCGTTGGGTGCGATGTCTGTGCTTCTCTTCAATGCCGCTGCTTCCATCTTCTTCTGGGTTAGGCATCCTCGACCTCTTGCTTGGCTGGGCGGGGATGGCGTAACTTCCATGTGTCCTGGCTGACAACTCCTAATGGCTGTGCTCCCATTTGGAGGGACTGTCCTTCTTCCCCCTTCAGTTGTCCCTCTTTTTGGTCTTATGTATTGACCCGGGGGAGTCCCCATAATGAGGCAACAGGTGTTGGGGTGGGGGGGGGGGGGCTCGGCCCAAACCCCCTCCTCTCCATGGTTGAAAAATTCTGGGCCGCATTAACTCATCGCTCCCCCCTTCTCCTGGCCACCTTAGGCCATGAATAAAGTAGGGACGGCCCTGTATGGACCTCATCAAACAATGTATTATTTAAAGGAGAACTCTGCGGTCAGGGCTTTCCCCCATAGTTCTCCTTAGGGTAACGGGAGGACACAAACTAGCGTCCTCCCGTCACCCTAAGCTCAGTATATAGGGAGCTACAGCTCGCGGTATACTGAGACGCCGC